GAAATATTTTGATAAGCAGTAATGAACAAAAGATGCTCAGAATAATGTTTTAAACAATATGCATCCTTTCACTTTTTACAGACGAATATCTCAGTCAAGATCTTGACTAATCTTATCCAAAATCAGACGGAAGACCCACTCGTTGCTCGCAACGAGAACCATCTAGTTATTATTATTATTATTATTCTTACCGATTTTGTGCACGCAAGTTCTCGGTAACGTCTTTGCCGATTTTCATGAAACTTTCAGATCTGATAGGTATTGATCTGAACCTTATTGGAAATTTTTTTCGTTGATGACGTCACTTTCCATCTCGAGATATTTAGGATTTTCTGATTTTCAGAGGGTCGGCTTGTCCTGGAAACTCCTCCGAAACGACTTAAGATATTGAGTCACGATTTTCAGTGAAGGTAGGGGAAGGTTTGTAGATTTGCAGGCAGGTGTCCAAATCTCTCTAGCGCAAAAGGCGCCGAAGCTCGGTACGGCTCAAAAAATGTCTCAGAAACATCTCACAAAATTTTACACCTTTTCTTTTATATCTTCAAACATGTTAAGAATTTGTTAAAACATATAGAAGAAAAGTTGTACAGAATGATACGACCTTTCATTTGATATGAAGAAAAAGGGGCTGACCCCTCAAATTAGGGGCTCAGAGGGGCCAAAAGTCTTCCATCTTTAACTCTTTAACGATCAGTAATTTGTAATACATTACTGAAGCAAAGATGCTTAACTTAACGATTTACAACAATATATGATGAGATTCTGATCATATGTTACGTAATAAGGGGTCAAAAGGGGCCAGAATGCTAAATCTTTGACGCTTTATATCTCGAAAAGGGGGAATATTTTGATAAGCAATACTGAACAAAAGATGGTCAGAATAATGTTCTAAACAATATGCAGCCTTTCAATTTTTGTCAAACGGCCCCATTAAGGACTTGGAGGGGTGGCCCCTAAATATTTCCATTCAGCATATCTCCATAACGAAAGGAAATCTCTGAATAGTTGTTGAACAAAAAGTCTTTAAAATCACAAGACCTTTCATTTGATATCAAGAAAAAGGGGCTGACCCCTCAAATTAGGGGCTCAGAGGGGCCAAAAGTCTTTCATTTTTAACTCTTTAACGATCAGTAATTTGTAATACATTACTGAAGCAAAGTTGTTTATCGTAACGACTTACAACAATATATGATAAGATTCTAATCATATGTTACGTAATAAGGGGTCAAAAGGGGCCAGAACGCTTAATCTTTGACGCTTTATATCTCGAAAAGGGGGAATATTTTGATAAGCAATACTGAACAAAAGATGGTCAGAATAATGTTCTAAACAATATGTAGCCTTTCAATTTTTATCAAACGGCCCCATTAAGGACTTGGAGGGGTGGCCCCTAAATATTTCCATTCAGCATATCTCCATAACGAAAGGAAATCTCTGAATAGTTGTTGAACAAAATGTCTTCAAAATCACAAGACCTTTCATTTGATATCAAGAAAAAGGGGCTTACCCCTCAAACTAGGGGCTCAGAGGGGCCAGAAACCTGTCATCTATCGCTCTTTGATAATGTTATATAAATCAAAAGAATGAAATCTAATTAGGGAAGCCTATATATTATTATCTTTTGACAAAGTTCATAGTCAAAATCATATTTCATCTTATCGAAAAATCGGACGGAAGACCTACTCGTTGCTCGCAACGAGATCTCATCTAGTTATTATTATTATTATTATTATTTTTTTGACCAAATTTTGTGCAGGCGTTTTCTCGAAAACTATTCAGTGGTTTTTCGTGAAACTTTCAGGAAAAATTAGTCATTGTATGAACTTGTTTCATCACAAGGAAAATTTGGAAAATTCCATTTTGGTTCCAAGTTACGGGCAATTTCCTGATTTTAAAATGAAATTTTGTCCGCGAGTGTTCTCAAGAATGACTGAAGATATGAACTGGAGACTTATTGGAGAGCATAGAACGTGACTTCTAAATTTGTGGAATCACATTTTCGTTCGTCGTCGGCACTTCCGGTCGTTTACGGAAGTGATCAAAGAAATCATAAAATTTCAACTTTCTTTTTTTAAATCAATACTTACATCACTTTATTGCATCTCTTTTGTAGTTTCGAAATATGTTGGTCCCACCGGAAACAAAAACATTAACTTCCGGTTATAAGAGAAAAACTACATAATTTTAGTATTTTTCTTTCCCATTAATATACTTTGTAGATAAAGTATTTGAAATGAATTTTAAATATGTTATTCATACTGCAGATATCTAGAGTAACATCAAATATCTTTGTAAAATTCACTTCCGGTCGCGTGTTTTTCTGTCCTCAAAATGAGAAGTTCTCTGAGCAAGATCTCGGAAACGGTGAGAGATTAAGACACCAAACTTATATGATCAACAGACCTTAAGATTTAGGCAAAACCATTTGGGTTCAGAGTGTCAGCCGTCACTTCCGGTCGTCACAGGAAGTGATCAAAGAAATCGAAAATTTCAACTTTTCTTTTTTTAATTAAAAATTGCATCTCTTTATTGCATCTTTTTCGCAGATTCGAAAGATGTTGGTCTCACCGGAAACAAAAGCGACAACTTCCGGTTATAAGAGAAAAACTACATAATTTGAGTATTTTAGTTTTCCATCAATATTTTTTCTAGAAAAAGGATTTGAAATGAATTTTAAATATGTTATTCAGACTGCAAATGTCTAGAGTAATCGTAAATATCTTTCAAAAATTCACTTCCGGTCGCATGTTTTCCTGTCCTCAAAATGAGAAGTTGTCTGAGCGAGATCTCAAAACCAGGTAAAAGATTAAAACACCGGACTTAAATGAGTAATAGACCTTGAGGAGTAGGCAAAACCATTTGGGTTAAACGCGTCAGTCGTCACTTCCGCCTGTCACAGTAAGTGATCAAAGAAATCTAAAAAAAAATTAACTTTTCTTTTTTAAATTAATGCTTGCATCACTTTGTTGCATCTCTTTCGCTGTTTTGAAATATGTTAGATTCCACCGGAAACAAAAACGTCAACTTCCGGTTTTAGGAGATAAACTACTTTACTTTGATATTTAACTTTCTCATAAATATTGCTCATCGATAAAGTACTTGAAATGACTTTATGTATGTTGTATATACTGCAAATGTCTAGAGAAAAGTCAAAGATTTTTATAAAATTCACTTCCGGTCTCAGGTTTACCTGTCCTCAAAATTAGAATTTGATCTCACAATATTGCTCGGCAACAGTAAACGACTGAAGTCTAAAACTTTCAGGACTGATGGTCAGTCATCAGTTATATGAATCGTGAGAAAATTTTGTATCGCCGTTACTTCCGGTCGTGACCGGAAGTGATGTAAAAAGTGAATGGTTAACGTTAGCAAGTTGGATTTTCACGCTGACGACCAGGGTTAAATTTCCAGAGTGTCTGAATTTCTTTTATCTCTTTTTCAGCTTGTATTTTCGTTTTTATTTTCAGAATCGGACGGAAGACCTCTCATTGCTCGCAATGAGTTTCTAGTTATTATTCTTTTTTTCTACTTTCTTCTCCGGTACTTTTTTGTCCGGGAGTGTTCTCATAAAACCTCTCATCCGATTGACATGAAACCTTTTTAGGGTTAATAGGCATGTTGTGTAGGTGTGCGGAACGAAGGTCATTTTGCGCGCACATGCATGCACGTGCGCGCGCGTGCATTGAGTGAAATGACTGATATACTTGATAAAGCCGTAACTTTTATATTTCTTGATGAATTGCTTTGAAACTCAAAATATAAAGATATATTAGTAGTCTAGACAAGTTGACATGGTCAAATTAGCATGAACTCACGCGCATGCACGTGCGCTCTCCTCTGATTGGCTGATACAAAAATCTCAATAATTTCCTTGTTTTTTGACGAAATACTTTGAAATTTAAAATATAAGTATATATTATAAGGTGCTACAACGTGTTACATAGGAAATCTCTTGAAACCACGCGCAGGCAGGTGTGCTGCAATCTGATTGGCTGAGACTTTAAATGTCTATAACTCATTTGGTTTTCAACAAAACATGATGGAATTTACGACATGGATATGCTCATAGGGCTCCTACATTATGATACTATCAAAATTGAATGCAAGGCCATGCATGCGCGTATGCTGAATTCTGATTGGCTAATACTTAAAGGGTTACATCTCTCTTGTTTTTCAATGAAATTCTTTAATATTTAACACAAATGTATGTATTGTGAGACACTATAAGAAAATTAATGTGAAAAATGTAGAAGCAAGCACATGCGCTGAAATTTGATTGGCTAATACCCATATGGCTATATCGGAGTAGTTTTCCAATGAAATACCCTTATAAATAAAGTGTCCATCTATACTACAAAAGTATAGTCTAATTTATTGAAGCTTGTAGGGAATGGGGCATCATAAGGAATTGGGGAGCCGTTTGGGGAACATCTGTAACGGTTCCCGTTACAATTAGCACTAGTTTTATTTGCAATGTTAATTATTTCGTTAAAGAGGATTAATCAATTTAACTATAATTCGACCCATTTTACTTGAACTGCTTTTAGATGTAGATCTGTTTAATTATTAAGCACACCTCCCTCAACGCCTGTTTTCTGTCGGGGAACAGGTGCGTGATTATTTTAATACCCTCTGTAGCACTGGAAGATATGCAGATTTAACAACTGGATGACATATGTCATACTATGAATTTCATATCCTCTGGTTGATCTTTATCGTGGAATCATATAAAGAATCCAAAAAGTTTTTTTTTGGAGGTACCCGTAAAGTATTGATGACGAGCAAGTATTAATGAAAAATCACATTAATTTCTTAATTTTCAGGAAATCTTCGAAATTAGCTTTTGACTTCAATTATTTTTGTTCAAAATGGAAAAAAAAATATTAGTCATCAGACTTTGGTTCTTAAAATAATAACAAGTACATAGTTGATTTATATTTCTAGTCATTAAATCATCATTGGTGGTACTATATTGATAGGTGAATTAAGCAAACCCTTACCTTTCACTAGTTATTCCCACAGTAAGTGATGTGATGGATTTATCTGTGGTTACGCCAATTGTAGAGGCCTGGTCACGCCAATAGTAATAATTACATAGACAGGGGTCTGCTTTCATCAACAAGCAATTTACGCCTTGTTCGCATAAGCTTAAAACACATACAAAAATATTCCATGTGAAAGCATGCGTCCTGTCCACGATTTTACAACATCAGAGTCGGAAAAAGACATTTGCCTGTAATACTGGCTCTCTTGCTATGATGGACGGATTTGCTACACGCTCCTTGGGTTGTGTTTGGCGGTAAATCAAAAATATATAAAAATAAATGATTGGAAAACGAAAAACTTCATGTACCGGACAGCTATGTCTTCAAACAGCATCTATCTTTGGAGATTTTTAGCAATGATATTCTCAAAATAGAAAAGATCGCGAGAAAACACTCTTTAGATTAAAGCTACGGGATGTAGAGAGGAAAGCTAATTTTGACCGTTTCTTGTGGATAAACTCATTAATTGAGGCATATCTATAGCTGACCGATTTCTGGAAAGCTTCAAGACCAATTTATTCTGTTTTTATTAATATATATTTATTCTGTTTACTCATTTAGCACCGTTCTAACTTTGAGAGAAAACTTCCGTTTAATCTTATCTGCATATAAATGTATAGTCATGTAAAGTTTTTCTTTTGCACTTTTAATAGTGTCAACTACCAAAATACAATATTTTTTCCAGTAAGTATTATAACCATAATCGAGGTATTGTTGTATGAAAATGCAATTCAGTTTATTTTTGCATCTTTTCTTGAGAATGACATATATGCACGTAGAATCTTTTGACTTGAAATTCCAAAATCTGGCATTGATGGCGATTTAACAAAACGGATGTTTTGCGAAACGGAATGAAGTGAAATTCTGTATATATCTTAATTAAAATGAACAATTGTGGGTTATTCAGAGAAACCATAAAATATATACATAATAGACAGATTATATCTTTGTTGATAAATAGTACATAAAAATGCTGCGTGCTGCGTCTATTTTAAGACTTGTAGGAGTTTTATGTAGAAAATATACTGGTCTGGTTTGACAGGAATTGCGGCAGTTGACGTGCATGACACCCGACAACGAGTGAGTAATATTATATCTCTGTTTGTTCCTCTGTTCTTTTTTCTTGTTTAGTTGTTTGCAGAATTCGTAACATGTTCACTACAGCCGTTACACATGTCTGTTGACAGATACACTTTGTTGTGTAAGATTATGTGCCTTTGGTGCACTTGGTTTTACAAACACGTTTTCATGTATTTTCACTGTAAATGCACATCCAAAGTGATTGATACCTTTTTTTTTGTTTTTGATTGATATTTTTAGATTAAATGCATACAAGTACCTAGCATTTTATGTTTCCATGCCTGAACATATACAAGCTATCAGCCTCATTATAAAAAGTGCATAAAAAATGCAGATAAAATATGATTATTTATATTTTATTGAGTTAGATTTATATAATAAATAGCAACAAATAAGTATGTCAACAAAATAACAACATGTTATAACCTATTTACAGAGAAGCCTCTCAAGTAAAACGTTTTGTACACAGATTTTCAATATATTCAGTTTGTGGTAAATGGTATTACCATTCGAACACACTTGGATTTCGGCACTATTATAGTTTATCACAACTGGGATGAATCGACAACGTCAAGATGAGCTTCTCACAAAGGGATTGTGGTTGACTGGTATACTGGAACATGCGCATGGGTATAGTATCCACCGGAAGCGACGTACTCAACCGTCATGTCCTTCACTGGGTTGTGGTATCCGCCCTGTCCCCTGTAATAAAGAACAGATTACATATTATATCGAGAATAATGTGTTATAATTGTTAAATAATTCAATTTTGTAGACCTTAAAAAAGCAAATACTTAAAAAAATGTTGTATTATATTTTGTTTCCACATCAGCCTTGCCCTACATACACGTGTAGAGGGGGTTGCTACATGTAGTAAGGATTTTCTAAAAAAAAAAAATTTTCAAAAACGTTCATTGGGGATATATTAAAAATACTCCGCATCTTTAAACATTATATTAAAAATACTCCGCATCTTTAAACATACATATATCAAAGCTAGGGAGATCTAAGTAAGATGAGTTTAGCAGGCGTTGATGTATAATTGGTTCCCACATCTCCCCATTGTTATGAAGGATGATGTAAGTGATCCGTAAAATACAAGTTCCTAGAAAATAAACCGCACAAAAACAATACCTCAGCGTTACATAGGGCACGGACAACGACCGGGGTTCCACAGACTAACACCTAAAGCTTATACATACAGCCATCACAGTACCTAAAGCTTGCGTTTGGTGGCCTTACACACATTTTATATGTACAAGTATAAGTGGTGTTTTGCAATTCTTTACAATAAAATATCCTACCCTCCTTAACCTTCACATGCTACCTCAGAAAATTAACAAACAGACAGATCATCAAATGTTCCAAATAAAACTTACGGGTAAGAAAATTCTGGGGGTACGTATCCAGTCATGAACGTGGAACAGCCAACGGGAGCCACCCTGGTGTTGTCATCCCTGTGACCCACGGGAGTTTCGTTGATGGTGTCAATCTCGGTGTAAATGTGCTGGGAAGGAGCTCGGGGTACGGATGTTGTTTCATAACTGAAATAACGAGAGATAATTAATAATTATACAATTATTCAAAGATTAAATTAAATGTTACGTTGTCTTTCTTGATTTTTTTTTTTACTATGTTGTAGGTTAATTTTTGAGCTGTATTATTTAGCAGTTTTGTACCTTGTGTGATGGAGGCTGTGTTCTGAGCTCAGACCAGTAAGAGTGGAGCGTGTATCTGGAAAAAAAATATCAAACTTATAATGTGTTTCAGATACATCCAATGGTGTTGCGATATGCTTTTAGGTTATCTGAATCTACATGCTAATATTGTTTAAATGTCATGGACAACTGCTACATAAACTTCACAAAACAGATATATATTTTTTTATTATTTTAAGTTGAAAAAGTTGGCAGCCATGTTCATGAGTACACTGGACGATTTACTCTGACTTACCCGTGATGTTCATTTTACAGGGCTGTTGTAGGGCGCCACCTGGTGGTGGAGCTGTGAAGGGTTTCCGCTTGCCCTGCTGACTTTCTTGACACTGAGCCGTGGCTCCCAGAATCCTCCTGAGATAAGATCAATTATAAATAAATATCAAAACATAAATAGCTATTTTAAAAAATACCGAGGAATAAATGTTTATAGCCTATCCATAATTGATATCTTTAAAGAGTTAAATGCTTCCTTTAGTTTCTAGTTAGCAAATATCCGGACAGAGGCTATTATCGTGTATAATCAGATCGATAACCTTGGAGGATATTACTTATTCTCTATTGAGAAGTTGATGGCTTGTTTTAAAAATACTTCCCTTCAACTTTATTTACAAACAAGAATTCCAATAACAATATCAATCTCACTAAAACATAATTTTAAGTAATTTAAAACGATCAATGCATTCGTAATCGGTTTATTGTCAAATATACCTTTTGAAGATAACGAAGAAAATCATGGTGAGGATGGACATGACCGCTACCCCCAGGACGATCCCGGCTACCATGGCAACCTGTGACGTTTCGCGGACATCCACAAACGCTGCGCGACCTGGCGGTGTCGGGGAAATGGTGGTAGGTGGAATATCTGAAAAAAGGAAATTACGTTAAATTGACAGCTGCTTTGTACATTATTTGTTACTTTTGCCAATTGACTTCAAAATTTAATTCATTTTGGGTACATGAAACAGAACTATCTTACCGTAGGAATTCTAATCTTATCAAAATACAAATTTTCTAAACCTCTAGTGACTAATTCTTCATCTATTCACTTAAATATTTTTATTTATTTATTTATTTGATAATTCAGTAATACCTGGATAAGGACACCCCCGTATGTCCACACCAAAATCTGTGAAGATTTCTGTCTTGAACCAGGATGCAGTATTATACCGATCATGCGCAGTGCACTGATCCCCGAAGTCTTTTTGGATTTTCTTCTCAAAACATCGGAAGCCCTCTTCAAATAACCTAAAACCAAACTTATAAATTAGCAACGTTTGAAATAGTAATCTGATTATACACAGAGTTCAGATTAGAGTTGTTTTTCTTTCAATAATAACATTTAGACTTTATCAGTGTACATGTACCAGAATGGTCTCTCACAACATGGGTGGGAATCCACAGAGTGGCGATAAAAGTTTTGAAAACCATAGATTGTTATATATGAAGTTATCAACAGTTCTACCGAGTGTTTTATTCTAAATCAGTTTAATCATTTATTAAAACAGATAATGTCGCCTTCTTGTTAAATAAAAATAAAACTGCAATAAAAACGTCCTGCGATTTTGGCAGTTTGTAAGCGAGCAACAGCTGGGGTATATTAATTAACAAGTCGTGTTAATTGTAAGAAATGCTCACAATAACAAACTTGTCATATAAGTAGGAAAGTTATTTATTTATTATAGTGACATGTGTTACACACATGTATCAATTTATGAGTACACAAATGAAAAGAAATTAAGCACCCGGTCTCCAGTGTCTTTGTCACAGTTTGACAATAGCTACGTGTAATATGCATGTGAAGGTTCTATACTTAGAGTTTGTAAACATGAGGCTTGTTCATAAGCAATATACATTAAATTGTAATAAATATGTTCAAAATTACCTATTATAATTCAATTTAAAAAAATTGTATTATATTGCATTTTTCTTCTATATAATTTATTTTTTTATTTTATTTTTTATTTTATTTATTTATATTTTTTTCTCCTTAAAAATAAACTTCAACTTAAAGTGCATATGGTATACATATTATTTTAGAATTTTAAAGTTGAAAACATTTTACAGTCATTTTACAAAGTTTAATATAACTTTGTTGTCGTGTTTTAACTTAAGAAAAATCTTTTATGCCATCAGAATCAATAAATTTTATTCAAAGTCAGGTTTTATACATGTACCTCTGTAGAGCTGAATTTCAGTAAGGTGAGATTTGTAAACTCTGTCTCTCAAAAAAGTGATTAGGATAAAATAAAAAACTTACGTGCACTTCTTTTGGCTCTTCATCTCTCGCTGTTCAATCTTGGCAACATACGCCTCTTTCATGAAGTCCCCGAGACACCGGTACAGCGTCTGACCCACAAAGGACCTGTCTACACACGGGTTATCTGCTCCTGAAATGATGAACAATGCCATAGTTAAAGATATGGAAAGAGAGATAACTTTGACTACTCTGATTTAGATAAACTGGAGAAATTCTACACAAAAATTAATTAATTAAATCAGGGACCTATATACTAACTACTATATTAGTATATAGGTCCCTGATTAAATTATATAAAAATATTGTGAAACTAGTACAATCTTAATTTCATTGCAGTTCGTTAGAAATTAAAACAATTTCACTTTCTTTTCTTGTTTCAATGTCACTTACTAAGGATAATTGTGGACTAAAAAAGTAAAGAGCCTAATAAGAGTCTTAATTTTATTTATTCTGTACAAGCTGTAAAACTGTATGTATATTTTTTGTAAACTATCGTGTAGGGAGAGGGTAAATTTTAAACGTAAGCATGTCATTTAATATACCCAGTATTTACTACAATAATAAAATATGTCCAAAACAAATCAAATGTGCAACAATAAGTAATTTGAATACAACTATCAAGCAACTTTTTTTTATCTATCAATTAACAAGTTAACAAAAATATTTTATATGTATCTTGGAATGAAATGGTTCATCGAAAGTTCATGCAAGCTTAATTTTGATCACGGGAAAAAAGATATTCAATTCCTATATATATCGTATTTTTTTGGGAAAAGTTAATTAATCCTACCTGAACCAGACATAATTCCAGATCCTTCAAATTCTGTAAAGTCTCCGATTTCAATTTCACTGTCTACCTCGAGTTTCAGGAAGGTAGTGTTAGGGTTGCTTCGGGGAGCCGAGGTTTTATCCGACATAGGGTGACACTGGGTTGTAGCCCCTGTTTTTGACACGCGGTGTAAACAAGGAGTACAAGTTCCTCTATCTAGATGTAATCGAGCAATTAACAGCTGATTGTCTCAGCCCGGAGTGCCCTCTCATTATATACCCGGCTACCTGTAGTAATTAACTCCCAGTGTACACTTGACAGGTCGTGAGAAAATACTTTCAATTTAAATTTAAATAATTAATGGCAAAAACTTAATGGAAGCTGCATTTTGCGGATGATTGGTTTGATTTTAATCTTTTAAAAATGCTTTATCTCTAAAAGCTCGAATTTACGGACACCGTGACAGGTGTCATAATCGCTTAATTTGGATAAACGTATCCACGGGTGCAAATTCGACGCTAATTGAAAAGAAAACAAATGAACCAGAGATCTATTCTTTTAGTTTCTGGTTTTATCGTAACACCATCACTAGTTTACAGGACAGAAATCATAGAAACACTTTAGCTCAAAGGGTTTTATCACATTATGTGTATTTTTCTTTTCTATTAAATAAACTCCTTCAAAAGGAAATGAAAACAGTTCAAAGACAAACTTACACACAAACATTAAAGTTAACCGAGATATGTTTTATCAGATAAACCAATTATACTTTGTATGAATATAAAGCCATGATGTTTGTACTAAAAGAAGACAAAAATTGAACTAGAATATGAATTTCTTTGAACTATTTTCATATTATCTATTTTTTCACATTAAGTTCAGTTGTCTCGCTTTCCCTGCTCTAAGCATCCCCGTCCCAGTATGGTTTTTACAACAGTTCATATAATCAGAATACCGTTAATTCAGTACATTACAAGATATGCAACAATCAAATACAATTTTAATAATTATCTTGTAAACAGACTCATTAATGGTGATATTTTTACGCCATAACGAGAATGTTTGGCACAAATGACTCTAGCTCTGCGTGAGATAATATGTTCCCGTCAATAAATTAGCCTTTCTAATTAGTATCACACAGAGTGAACGATTCTTAAATTAATTAAAATTTTTGTATTGTTAGCGCTTTGGTTTGCTGCACTTCAGTTTTTATTATTTGTTTTTAATATGTAAGCCAAGTGCAATAAAGCAGTTAAGAGTGCATTTTAAACGAAACGTCAATATGCATTATATTGGTAAAAATATATTTATACCATGATGCCAATTGTTTTCTGAGAATGAAGATGAATTTGAAAGTTATATACAAAATCATCTGCTTGCAGAAATATCAGATTGAAAAGGGGGTTTAATAATCTACGCTTCATCAACACGTATTGTTCAAACCAAATACTACATGTATCTTCATTAGAAATGCAATGAAAAAATAATCAAGTATCGTCCGTTTTAATTAATATTATTTCTCCCTCTCTCCAAAATCATTTTGTATGTTTGATTTATCAATAAATCCTATTTGTGCACTTGCACTTCTAACATACATGTACATATCATCGCAAAATCAATTATCCTTGTACCCGAATTATTTCATCAATATATCAAAATATGCATATGTGACAGTGTTCAAAATAACCCGTGTCTAATTTTTAATAAGCTGATAGAATGAAGTTTCATTGATGTACATTTGTTATGAATTAGCACTCTCTTACATGTATACAAAGAAAATAACCTGGTTCATTACATTTGATTAAATCAAAACAATAAACCCAAATCAGACATGAAGCGGGATTTTCAGTGGGGGGATTAAAGCCTTTCCCGATCAGGTCGGCGTTGGACATTTTACCTGATTGACAGGACCTTCTAGCGATAAATTTGTTTACGGACAATTTTGTGGACATTTTGATTTTAAAATAGGATGTTAACATTTTTAGCGTGAGAGTTAAGACAAATATACATAGTTTTATGTCTCGTCTGTTAGTCTGTTAGGGAAATTTATTTTTCATGCAATGATATTAAGAAATGATGAGTAATTTAATTTATATGTATATCATGTATAGATTTTTTTCATGTATAATGGAGAGTTTAATGCATACTGTAATTGTTGGTGTTGAGGAGTCGGACAGATGGACACTAGGGGTTCCACCCCCGTAGACTCTCGCTATGCGTGCATAATTATGTTAATTTTGTTTATACTAATGGCTTAAAGTTGTTTAATAAAGAATTAAAGTAGTCAGGAGAATTCTGCTGCTCAAGTACAGTAGCACATTCACATTCAGTTGTCGAAAAAATGTTGATTGTGGTGCATGATAAGTTTTAATTTTATACTATTAATTAAAAACAACGATATTAAAAACACTCTCGTGTACAGGAGTATGATAAAGGTTAGTTGTTATGCATTACCAAGTAGAAATTCCTAAAGTTTTCAGCCCCCCCCCCCCCTTCCAGAAAAAAATATAACGCCAAATTTACAATAGACACCACTATCTGTAGGTACTGTAAACTTTGTAAACTTGAAGATAAAAAAAACAACAACAACGAAATGATTTCCCCAGGAAAAAAATATGAGAGTATTGGGTTTTTGTTTCCCCCTAGGAAATCAATAACAATGCGATGAACATGGGAATATTCACAAAATTCAAAATGAAATGAATTTCTTGATAATTTGAAACGAGAAACCATGAAAATTATTAGTCATTTTATAGTTCAACACATGAAAGGCCAGATTATTGGTAGATTATATCAACGCATTACCTAACTGAAAACAAACAATTTAACAGACCAAGATGAAAGATTCCCAACCATAAGAAAGGTCAAGGTTCGAGGTCGACTTGTGTCTTATTTACTGCTTTCATCTAAAATTAAGATATATTCTGCCAATATAATTCCCTCCCTTGGGATTTTCACATATGTGACTAATAAAAACCTTCAATCAGCTTTTATTTTATCTTGATGTGCAATGTAATTTCCTGTGATTTAAGAATCTCAGCTAAATAAATTTCAATGAAAAGAAAGGCGTGCTGTTTAACCCCTTAAAATACTCCAGGTCAAAGTTAATACAGAACTTTAAAGAACATTGCAATTTCTCGAAGACCTTGGAGCATTATATCTGATACTCAAATGTTCTAGCACTTTGTTTCACCCCAGGGGAGGATCCGAAATTTTTTTGCTTGAGAGAAAAGAAGGGAGCGAAGCCTATAGCCCTCTCAGCGGGACCTGAAAGGTGCAAGGGTACCAAAGTACCTAGTCGATCGGCTTTTGTTATTAATCATAAGAAAACTAGCATAAAACAGTATATTGTATGTCTATATTGAAAAGATGGTTTTTGCTCGAATGATTTCAGTAGAGTATGTACATCTATATTATCATACTGTTTTAGCGGTAAACATTTTCGTATTTGAATTAATCCACAAAAATAGAGATTGCCAAAAATCTTTATGATATATTCTTTCAAATCATCACAAGGAAGTGGACATCAAACCTGGAATATTTTTAAGTTGGGATCTACCCTATCGTTAGCTTCGTGTTAAAAAGGGTGCGTATCATTACCGCTACATTTTTCAAAATTGTCGTTACCGCTACCTACTCACTACCGCTTCAAAAAAGTATACATTACCGCTACATTTAAAAGTATATATTACCACTACATTGCCCCTTTCGAAATTTCGAAGAAATGTAGCGGTAATGGGTTGAAATTTTCCGCAATGTAGCGGTAATGACCTCCCGTTAAAAATATGCTAGTGTACCTTTCCGTTTAAAACAAACATATATTAGTTTAAACCATATTTTATTTGAAAATGACAAACAGAAAATAAAGGTAATACAAAAAAAATCAAAAAGGATTCGGAAACAAGTTTGAAAACTTATACTAATCCGTTTCCTTATTATTACGATTAAGATGACAGACCCTTATTAGATAGTTACATAACACGGTTTGAAGCTGCTTAAAAACTAATATTTGAAATTGACATACATGTTAAATTAGAACTCATGTCGATTCACACAAATGAATGAGGTTCTAATTATACAAAAGTATTTTTTTTAGTATTTAAACATATTTTATTGAAACATAATCAATAGGATTGGACACAAGTTTTACCAACTTAGAATTGTCCTCTCCAACACAAACAAAATGACATATACATATACACGTGATGTGCAACCAACAAATGTACAATACAAAAAAAGTGCAGGGAAATAAGAAAAGGGTGGAGGGGGGGGGGGGGGGGCAAAGAAAGAAAGGAAAGGGGTTGTAATAGATACAGGATGGTTACGCTGGTTATTCATAAAAATCTTTTTAATATTTTAATATACAGAAGAAGTCTTATGGATTTGAACAATATGCACATGTATATATGAGAGAGAGAAAAGCGACAGAATATGGTTGAATTTACAGGAAAAATAATTCAAGAACAAATGCAGGAGATTTACAGCAGTAAAAGATATTAATTCAAAATTGAGAAGAAAAATAACGATGAGAAAAAAAAATAAAAATGACACTTGCTACACACACTTAAGAGAATATACACAAGAACATACCCACGGGGGAGGGAGTAGTGAATAGATACTAAGGAAAAACTGATTAAATAAATCTCTTGGTAGCTACAATATATTTTTGGACAGATTTAAAGATTGCAACATTTTCTGCCAGTGGTAGATTTTGGTCACCAAATAATAATATATTGGTGTTGATGTAATGTGGAAGTGTGTATATAAATCTATCTCTGAGGTTTTCAAAATAAGGACAATGTAGGAGGAAATGTTCAGAAGTTTCATTCTCGCCACAATTACAGTTTGGGCTGCTGGCAATATTTCGAGAAAATAAATGACTTTTTAGTGAGTTACAATCAAGTCGTAGTCTTCTGTGTAATATCTGTTCCTTTCGTTTACCAGTATAATAATATTGAGGGGGTTTACGATTTGCATTGTTGGCATTTAAATAACGTTTTAAATTTGACAACGAAGGGTTTTGTTTGATAGAATCGGGCAATTCGTTCCAGAGCTTGATGGTTGATGGGATGAAGGAGTTACTATAGTGGTCAGTTCTACATTTGACTTGCTTCAAGTTGATGTTACACTTTTGTCTAGTGGAATGAT